CGAGACTGGTAGCCCTTTGCACCTCTGGAGCCCCGCTAACTGGAGGAATAGATGCAAAAAAGTTAGTACGAAGGTGGCGGGGAGGCCGAGGAGAGTCCTCGAGTGGCTTGCGGGGTGAGGGCTATAGGGAGCCTGAAAATAACGGGGAGGAGAGGGGGAAGGGAGAGAGGGGAAGGCGGACTCGACGGTATCAAATACTTCCTACCGGCGACCGCAGGGCTCACTGCGAGCATCTCCCCCCCCTCTCCCCCCTCCCCACCCCGGCGGAGGAGCGGGTTCCAAACTACGAATTTAAGTCCGTCGGTTTGGTATGCCTCGTCTTGGGTTTATTTCTTAATTTTCAATTCCACCATTCCACCAGCAATCGCTAGCGCCTTCGCAGAAGTAACTCGCAAACCCTGGCGTAGGAGGGAGAGGGCACTCGGGCACTGCTGCGTTGCTAAAACTGAGACTGTTAACGATATTTGCAGCTCAGAGGGAAAAGAGGCAACAGCCCTGACCTTAGGTAATTGAAATTTGATGGTTAAACTAATTATGCTCTTATTCTAAAGGGAAAAAAAATACTTATTGAACGTCAGCTAGTCTGGTACATTCGGAGTTAGCAGCGAACTTTTTGGATTTTTTTTTTTCTCCTTTAGAGGAAAGCTTATAAACACATAGAAATATTTACCGCACCCTTCGAGAATATAATTGCTGAGTGGGTAATCTCATCTGCTGGTATGGGAAAATACATCCAATATATCAAGCGTAAATACGATACGTTTTAGATCTTGCCCTCCTAAAGATATTACATTAACAGTTACCCTGGTTTAAATTCAGATTATTGTCTTTTGCAGTTTTATAGATAATGGATACATGCAATAAAATTCTATTTGAATATATATTCTATCTAACAAGACACACATCGTATCGATTTATATTTTATACACACACACACGCACGCACGCACATTGCAGGCGGCTTGTAATATGTTAGAACATTTCCAGCACTTGGCTATACTGGGGTACTTATCTAAACAATCACTCATTTCCTCCTCCTATCGAATGTCTAATTTGTAAAGAGAGTTAAAACACATTTACTTACTCATTTCCAACAGCACATCTATGGAACTCTTTAACTGGGGTAATAGATAAGTTTCTCTATTTACTCTGCATGGAGAGGAAATGCGGTTACACATATGCACACAGAGACAGCCGCAACTGTTCAACAGCACACATTTGACAGGAAAGGGGAGATTGTTTTATTTATATTTAAAAAAAAAATCTCAACAACCAAAAAAAAACCCCAAAACAACAGCAACCCTTGTTGTAATAGAATAAAACTCCCACCTCTGTGACTGTAAAAAAGAAAAGATTGCCAAAGTCCGCCACGAGCAGAGAGCATTTTCCCGGCGTAGAGAGATACATGCACACATACAGAGACATACGTACAAATACCTGCCGGCCAGCACCAGATGAATTACACTGGGTTATCGTAAATATTATCCTCGGCACAAGTCCTGAGGCACTATGGCCAGAGCAGTACAGCAGGCTGCCGTGCTCCCAAGCCACGGTAAAACACAACGAAAAGTGGTGTCTCGCTTTGTAAGCCCAGCGCTATATTGGGAGAGCTGACCGGGCTCTGTTTCGTATTATTTACCGTGATTAGATCTCAAAGTATACTTCTTTCACTGCGCCTCTTTCTACCGTGGGGCTCTGGCGCTCGGTTACAGGGAGAAGGATGCAATTTTGTATATGACTGTAAATCTGCAAGGTGACCTGAGCTGCTCAGCTGAACTCTGTTTTTTTTCGTGTGGTTCTATTAGTCTGCGAAGATGTGCTGAGGCAGGACCTCCAAAAGGCCTGTTCCATGTCTTTGTGGTTTTGTTATCATAAACAAGAACCCAGCCAAGACCACCAAGTGTTATCTTGCACACGGCCATTTCGACATTTTACTGCAAGATTTATGGCTGTAATAAACAATCTCAGAAACCCTTTTTTTCCCCGGTATTTCCCTTTAACAAACTTGTAGCATCATCCTAAGCTCTCGAAGAAAGAAAAGGAGAGGAAAAAATAGGCCAGCTCCCTTATTTTTCCAGAAGGACTAAAAGGCTCGATTTCACTGGTGAAAGAGACTTTAATCAGTTAATAAAGGAGCGAGAGTTTCCTGGCCGAGGCTGGCCGAGGAGGAGATGGGGACCTCACCGGAATTAAGTGGAGAGGGAGAGAGTCAATTTTCATGCACCAAGAAGAGGCAACCTCATACATACCCAAAGAAGGGGAAAAGGGGAATCCCCCTTTTTCTTGTGAAACAGGCAAGCACTCCTGCTACCCTCCACATGCGCGGCTAAAACGTAATTTCCCCGAAAGAGAAAATAATAATAACAACAAGAATAGTAACAGCAGCAGCATAGTAATAATAATAATAATAATAATAATTAAATAAATAATAATTCAAGTCAACCTTTCCCCGTGCCCGGGCATCCTCTACCGAGAGCGGTAGGAGGAGGAAGAATCTCACTAGCAGCCTGGTTTGAATTTGATTTGAACCATTTTGAATATATTTAGCCCCAGCTTTCCCCTCTTGAATGCGAGGCTGTCCCAAGTTTCAAAGTGACCGAAAAGTGACACCGTGTGCATTTTGTTTCTTATTAATCTTACACATTGACAGTCTTTGTTAAATAACAAGGCGTGCCCTTCACCAGGCGACATTTTCATATTTGTTAGACGCGGTGACCTGAAGTTCACCTCGGCCTTGGACTTAGTTTTTCTAAAAGGTCTATAACAGTGTCTTTTAGATAGCGGGGTGCTTTGCCCAGGTCACTACTTCTAAGGGAAAATTAAGAAAAAATCGCGGGAAAATGTAAACGTTATGGAATGTATCGACTGTATTCCCTCCTTTGTTCCTGGGACTGATACAGCCCCCGAGGCTGCTCCTGCCTCCGCGGGCGGGAGCGCTCCTTTCCTATGGTGGCTGCCGGGGCAGCGCTCGCAGTTTTGCCCCAAGTTCAGCATTTGGTAAAAGCAGTGACTTCCCCGGTACTGGGACTCCTCTTAACAACGGGATGGTTGGCGGGATTTGCTCGTTCTGTCTTGGCGCGGTTAAATAAACACACGAAAAATGTGATTTGAGCCCGGATTTTAAATGAATGATCTTTTGAGCAGACCTTCCACGCCAGAGAGCAGCGTGCTGAATGCAGAGAGTGAAAGGACAGAAAGAGTTGGTCTCAAATTATTAACTGTTCTGCTCCAGGTTGTTGCCTTTTTTTTTTTTTTTTAAGGAATAATTTAAACAACAATTCTGAAGAGTCAACATTTCTCGAAGTCGCAGCTTCGACTTCTTTAAAAATATTCTCATTGATATCTTGATTCTAAACCAGATTGAAAATATGGAATCTGAGCCACTAATTGTTTTGGTGTGGCAGCAAATGGATTTCGGTCACCTACTCTTGAGTAAGCCGGTTATAGTAACAGCTTTCGTTCTGGGTATATCAAAGACGCATTGTTATTCTTGGAAACAATCCGCCTGCTATTCTCTAACAAAACAGATATTCGGCTACGGTTTTTAGCTTGTTATCAGGCTTCGCTCTTACACCAAATAAATACTCTGGATGTGAAAGGTTATAGACTATCTCCATCGAGGGCAGGCTCCCCAAACGTGCAGTGCCAGGGCTCGCTACAAGTGAGCAACAGCAACAACTTGTGAACAGCGTCTGCAC